GAACCATAAATTCGGCAAAGTGTTTTAAAAAGGCAAGGGTACAGTGAAGAGATTTTTTTTTTATTTCCTACAAAAGTCACACAAAAAGGTCTTCTGACATTACACAATAGAAAAAATCGTTAGATTAAAGAAGGAGTGCGCTTACTTAACGTCTTAGCTTTTGTACCTTATATCGGTTAGTAGTTATGCATTTTTAATAAGTATAAAATAGTGTCTTGTATGAAAAATTTCGCGTATCATATAAAACTTTGAATAAATAATTTCTTTTCACCTCCGAAGAATGGTAGTTTTCGTACCTGATGGCGCATCTTGCCAGGGCAAGCACCAGGCCCGAGGGACTTCTTGTGCTTGCCCTGGTTGGGTGCGCAGCAGGTGTGAACCCTATTTTTCCTACAGAGGGCATACCCAACGGGCATTATTCAATCTGTACACAATAATTTTTTATGTACTTTTGATAACATTTGAAGTTTACTACAGTCAATTGATTTAATCACACAATTTTTTTTCTAACATCGGTAAATACAATTTATAAACAAATTTATTTCTATTAAAAAGTGACAATTCTAGTAGGAGATATTCTTAAGATTTTGCAATATTGCAAAAAGATAAATTCGAATCACTAGCTATCTTCCCATCAGTTAAAAATCTGACGAATCTAGAGAATAAAGTCTTATATAATTAACAATACGTTTGACATCTTAACATAATTTCAAATATATCTTACAGATGTTTGAAATACTACAAATAATAGTTCTAATAGGTGTTACTAAATATCTGTGGGAATGTAAATAGTTATGTATCTGAGCGCGCGGTAGCTCAGTCGGCTAGGTCGTGGATTGGCAAGTGGGAGACCATGGTTCGTTTCCCAGCCAGTGCGAGTTTCCGGGCAAGTACCTCTGTGAATTTTCACATGTCCTTTTTTACCACGCAATGCTCCTCGAAGAGGGTTACAGCAAACAGCGACCTTCTTGCGGCAAAATTGTCTAATTTTCTCCAACCCCCCCTCCTTTAATGGAAGGCCTCCCATCCCTTTCTTGTCCCTTTCCCAAGTGCTAAGTGCCCAAAGTAGTGCCTTTATTAAAAAAACCGGACGTCCTATAATATAAAAAAAAAGTTGTACATCTGTATTGTATGGTCTAAATTTTTCTTTTTAATAAATAATTAAATTTAGAACTATGAACACTTTTTTCCTTTTATTCAAAAATATTTGAAAATCTATCGTTTACCAACATTTTTCATTTTTTTTTACCTAATAATTTCATGCAAACTGTATGAACTGAATAAGATTAATTTTAAAATGGTAATATAATAAAAGTATTTTACTTAAAAATAAAGTTCAAACTATTGTTTATCACAGTAATACTAAAAAAAAATAATAAGAAAACGCCAAAAAATTAGTGGAAATATATTGGCCTGAGGTTAAATAACCAGTTCAAATTCAAATTATCTCAGGAAGCGCTTGCATTAGTTAACTATAATAACAATTGATTGAGGTTTTTAATGTTATATGCTCACTGGTCTGTCAAATTGATTTATGAATATTTTGAAAAGAATACGTCGATCCCACTGGCAAATCTTTAGTTATATTTTTTATCAACGTTTCTTTACATGTAAAATTGTTCAAAAAATGTCATAAAGAAAAATCGGAAATAGTACAGTTGCTGTTGCAAACACATCATACCAGTAAAAATTCGTGAAAGATATTTCTCTCTAGTATCAAACCTGATGATCAGATAAAGAAATTCTAATGGCCAAAAAAATATCTGAAAGTGATGATTTAATCGTTGCATTACTTAAAATGATAGAAAACGATACTCTGAGTGCATTGTGCACTTTAGATATAAGACTACCCCTTTACTTACCACGTGCATTTACAGTATTTACAGTTTCTGCCATCTTTTTTATTCTGGTGTATTTTAACTAATCAATGTTGACTTTGTTTTTTTTTGACAGTGACACCTGCATGGAAACCAAAAACAACTAATAAACGAAAATCGCTACAGTCACATGATGATCATAACACACCCCTGAAACGAGCAAAAAATGGTTCGTAGTTTTTTGTACACTTTTTTGATTACATTGCCTCTATATATTGTACATGTATTGCACACCACTACTGCTTTTTCATATAGCTACACAATATTGAAATTAAGGTGCTCAGTCACGAATACTCAAGGTTTTTGACCTCGAGCTTGCATGGCTATGTATCAAGTGTTGTTGGAAGATTTAGGCTCGCGATTCTGTAGCCTATTACCTCCAATTTCTTATTTTCATCATTTGAACAACTATTGTGAAATGTGTACTGTAGAGAATACATGAAAAAATACCAGAATCTGTTTCTTGTTTCTTTTAGCACACGGTTTTGTGCTTTTTATTTATTAACAGTCACTAATAGAAATATCATACTTTGTGCCATGTAGACGAAATATTTGAATTTTTATGTATAATAGCACCGTGGTACCGAAATTGTAAATAATATTTTATATTCGAAGGCTCAAAGTGCTGTTAAACAACCATGAAAATGCTCTGCAGGCTAAGGTGAAAATTATGTTCATGCGTCTACAGCACAAGGTGACTCTTCGAAGTTGTGCTCTCAACAGTCCTTAAAAGTTCAAGACATATATCTATACATTTATAATAAATCCGTCTCTTTACTTCATTATAGTTTGATAACTTTAAAGAGGTAAGCAAACGTTCTTACAAGAAACTAATATGTGCTTAGTAGCCATGTAAATTGCAGATAGATGGTATAGAAAACGCTCTTATGCATCGAAAACAAGAGAATATTTTTTAAAATTTTCAGTATTAGATTTAGATAAATTGCAAACATTACTTTGACATTGTAATGTAAAATAAATATTCCTGAAAACAAAGTAACTTGAGGGCACAATGCCTTGTGCTTAAGATATACCATTGATTAATTACAACTTAAGGCATTTTGTGCGCAGTTAAGATGTGCCATCAGGGACAAAAATAACTATTCCAGCCCTCTAGTTTCAAAGTGACTTCTGTGATTTCTCACTCTGGGGCGCAAGATGGTTTCATGGGTTACAACGGCACTTTGTCTACAAGTGACCAAAACTTGACAATACCTCAAACACAATTAAAAAAAAAAATTTTCCCTAGTGTAAAAATTCATGAATATACTTGAAAATAACAATACTTAATGAAAAAGTTCACACAGCAATTTTGTACTTATTGCGTTAGGTTAAATTAAGTGTTATAGAGATGGAGTACCACTTTTTTTTAGATTTACCTCTACATTAATTATATGTGCAATTATTGTTTGTTTTTCCTGGCACCTTATTTTTCAAAGAATCTTTATATTGATTTCTGTTTACTTTGTTACCGCTTTACAGAGGTACTGGCACGAAAGCCATCCAACAAAAGCGCCACTTCAGATCCACAAGATAATCAAGTCATACCTGGTAAACATGCAAAAACTTCTGAACTGAAAATGGTTATCGCTAGATATTACAGTAAGTACTTCCATCACATGTTTTTGAACATATTAAAAAAGCCTCTGTTGATGCCACGTAGACACAGTTTAATGGTCTACATTAAATGTTTGCTATGTCCTTAGTAATAAAACATAACGCTTTTTACTATTGAATATCGGTTGATACTTAAGAATCTTCTGGAAGCTGTCTTTTCTAGTTTTTCAAGAAGTTAGGTTAGAAGAAAAAACAAAAAAAAAAGACTGAGAATTTCGACAGTTGTTTTTAAAATGAAATATTTATGTACTTAATCAAAATACATAATCTACTATTCCAGCCCTTTGAAGTTAAAGTGTTTTTTCACTTTAAGGTATAAACTAGTCACAGAGGTATAAAACAGCTTTTTTTAGAGGCTTAAAGACCCTACGTTGGGTGAACGGTACTCGTTAGTTAGCCATCAATGTATAACATTTGCGCCTATCTATCATCAAAGTCGTACTTTGTCTCCAAATGACCAAAACCCGCCATAGGTACAAAAATTAGTAAGAAATATTTTTCCAAACCCCCACTAAAACTATTTTTTTGCCTTACATTCAGCGAATCCAGTGCCACATTTCTTGTGCTTGTACAATGTCATTTACTGCTTGTACAAAAGCATTTTGCTATTTTTTGAGTGTTTGCCACCCACACCTTCGGTGTAGAAAGCAACTGTCTTGCAGAAAATACAAAAATACCTTACCAAAAAGCAGTTAATGGAATGTTTACTCTTCAAATAATGTAGCACTTATTTATTCTATCAAGTGACTAGTAAAAAAAAAAAAATTTCATACTTTTTTACTATGGATGAAAAGTACTTGGTTGCCCTAGCGCACAAAGTATGCCCACAGGCACAAAGTACGACGTTAGGCCCTCAGAAAGAAAAATGACGGTCGCGCTTTGGGCACAAATTGCTTCCATGATTTGAATACCACTGTTTTTCTCATGATACGATGTATACTATTTTTCTGGTGACAAAATTTATGAATGTACTCAGTAATCACAACTCCCAACAGGAAAAAATCTCAAAGTAGTTCCGTCATCACTGCTTTGCGTAAAATGATGAGTTGTTATGATGGCTAACCACTTTTTCTACATGTATCATGTTCTTAAAAAATGTACATTTCTCACATCCTATTTTTTTTAAATATTTTATTTGACGTATGTTTACTTCGTTTCCGCTCTATAGAGGTACTGGTACGAAAGCCATTCAACAAAAGCGCCACTTCAGATCTACAAGATAATCAAGTCATACCTGGTAAACATGCAAAAACTTCTGAACTGAAAATGGTTATCGCTAGATATTACAGTAAGTACTTTCATCACATGTTCTTGAACATATTAAAAAATCTTCTGTTAAAGCTAAGGAACCACAGTTTAATAGTTTACTTTAAATGTTAGCTATGCCCTTGTTAGTAAAAGAAGGCTTTTTGGTAGTGACCATCGGTCGATACTAAAAAATCTTCCTAAGGACGTTCGGTAGAAATAGCGGGGGGGAACCAATTGCAGGGCAAGGGGAAAGTAGTGATGAGTGAAGACTTGGCATCGCCACATGGGTCTCTAATGTGTGAGTGTTCATGTACACACATATATACACACATCAGGTGGTATATATATTTGTAATGTATTAGTGCTAAAAATGTAAGTTTTTGATTTTTATTTATTATAACAATGTAATAAACATGAGTAAATAATTAAAAATGATGTGCTTACGAAGATTAAAAAAATCGCTGATGAAAAAATATATTTAACTACCTTTTCCACCATGTCGTCTATCATTACAGAATCAGTTATAGAAAATCTTAGTCAAAATAAAGTAAATTTTTACGTAATTGTTAATAAATTGATGGAAGGTGACGCTAGTTTAAGATCGTTTTTATTAAATGAACAAAATCCTTCTATCAAAAAAGAAGCTAATGTAAATTAAATTCTTGAATTTTTTTGTGCCTTGAAAAGTCTCATTGAAAGTGACATATTAAATAATTAAGACAGACTCCAGTCTCTGCAATTACGACAAGGATGTGATTTTGTTATCTTGTGTAAAAAAATTGTATTGTATAAAAATTACAAATTAAAAATTTCATCAAGAAAAATAAATATGTGTTATTATAATACATTGTTTTGTTATGGGTAAGGGTAGAACCTATATATATACACTCACACACATGTATATAAGCTTATGTTTTATACAGAAATACATAAATATCAACCATAATATTCAAATATTTACTGAAATGTACGTCCTAGAACATTTTGAATTTTCCGCTTCTTGCGACGTTGCCGTTGCGTTTTTGTCGAACTATTATTCAATTTTTTTATTCGTAAACTAATGAGACGATCATCGCTAAACTTTGTGTACATCTGTTTAATAACATTATCTGTGACACATAAAAAAATTGGAGACATTCATCACGCCAATTTTTTTAAAACAGAGTTTTTATAAGTTTCCGCATAAGCGACCGTGTTGAAATGACTAAGCTTTGAAATTCAATATCTCGGAAACGAAATAGACGAACCTCTTGAAATTTTAACAGCTTCATTGTTACAACAATAAGAACATCTGGTTGAAATTTCAAAAAGATTCATTACAGGGTTCTATCTCTACCGAACGTCCTTAAACTTACTTTTACTAGTTTTTTAATAAGTGAGATTAGAACAAAAAAAGTCCTATGAATTCTATAGTCATTTATAAAAATTAGTAGTCTAAGAATTTGAAGCATGGCATCATGGTCCGAAATCAGCTGTTCTAGCTCCTTAGATTCAAAGTGTTTTTCTGCTTCAAGGCGCAAAGTAGTCTTACGGGTTCAAAACAGCACTCTACATTCGCTATGTGCTTATTTTAGGTGGTGCTACCGAGTGAAAGTAATTCGACGGTTGGGTTAAAGACAGAGCCAACTCAAATAATTGGTGAAAAAGGAGCCAACTCAAAATCTGGCCTGAAAAAGCAGTCAACTCAGATTTGGCTTGAAAAGGAGCCAACTCAGGTTCCGGTTGAAGAAGCAGCCAACTCGGGAGTAATTTTTTTTTTTATGAAGTTTTGTTGTGGTAACACTAAAATTCCCAATGTAGGTATACCTATATAAAAGAAATTTTTGATTTCAAATCTACGTCACTTAATAAAAAGTGGAACTTTTTAAAAGTATTGCAAGTAAGAGAAATTAAAATTACTCTAGATTGTACAATTTACTTTACATACGATTTTACGCGCCGCACTGACATAGATTTAGTGTATTAAAAGTAGTGAAAAATTAAAGATTACAATAACTGTTTATACTACAGTTCACAAAAAAAATTATTTTTATAACCAACATAAGTTTTTTTTCTATTTAATATGACGTTTGAAAATGAAAAAATATTTAAAAATTTTTGGAAGAACATTTAAAATGATTTACATCCATAGTCTGATCATAGAATTACGTCTAATCGCAGCAGACTTGTAATGTACATAATTTAATAAGTGTAGTACGCTCTACTACAGTAACATAAATTATTTTTCTGAACCATTGGGTTAATGAAAAATCTTGGTTCGTTTCTATAGGTATACCTATATTGTGAATTTCAGTGCTACCACGACAAAACTTCATAAAAAAAAAATTACTCCCGAGTTGGCTGCTTCTTTAACCCAAATTTCGAGTTGGCTCCTTTTTCACCAATTATCTGAGTTGGCTCTATCTTTTACCCAACCGTCGAATTGTTCCACACTTATATCTCCAGATTTCACGAAGTTATTTCGAGAATTTTTAATAAATTTAAAAAAACATTATTCTAAATGAGTTGTATGTGAAAAAATAAACTCAACCTGTCATAAGTATTTATATTTATTGAACACTTTGCCGTGACAAATAGATATATGTAAGCAGTACTTGTATTTTTCTAGTTGCATACAAGTACAAGCATGCACTTATAGATGTTGTGTTATTGAAGTCGTTGTCCATGTTTTTATTTTTCTTTACCCTGTAGTATAAATGATAACACCAAACAAAATTTATTACTGTACAGTAAATAATAAAAACTTTAACTACTGATTTATTTGGTCAATTCACACTTGGTAACTTTCAATTAATTTAGTAAGAAAATTGTCTACAACGCTCCGTGCATCATGGCGATCTTATCGAGCGACAATTTGTCTCTCTTGATGACGCCATCTGCCATAAGTGCATAGCGAATAGACCCTCTATAAAAATTATGATGCTCGTTAGCTGTTTATCAATGTATAAAATTCTCGTCTATCTATCATTAAAGTCGTGTTTAGCTCCAAATGACCAAAATCTTCCATATCTGAAAAAAATTTATAAAAAATGCTTAATAGAAAAAGATTATATTCGATATCTAAAAGTAATTTTATTTACCTACAGTTACTTTGTTTTTGCTCTACAGAGGTACAGACACCAAAGTCATGTAATGAAAGAGAATCTTCAAATTTACAAGATAATCTTATCATACCTGATGAACCGGTAAAACCTCCTAGACGGACACTAGTAATCTCTAAGCATTATAGTAAGTATTTTATTTTGTGAGTATGTTTTCGAAAGCAGTAAATAATTTTTCATTGTGCCCAAGTTAGCACCTTCTTTATAAAATATGAGGCTCATCATTTAGACGAAGACATACGACCATTGCGCCTCTGATAGCCTTAAGTCATCTTCAGCCCCTAAATGGCATAAAATGTACCACATTTGTAAACATTCGATAAAAAAGTTTTTTCCAATGTCATAACTCATGTACATTCAGAAATCACAACAGTTGATAAAAAAAGTACCAATGTGATAACTTAATTATAGCGTTATATAAACTGCTGAATTTTTAAAGTATTGAAGCACATTCATAGAAATCTCCATAGTTATCTCTTGCATTTTACTCAAAAATTTTTAATCCTTTACCCATGTAAAGCTGATTTAGTGATCTTACGTTCACTTCGTTTTTGTTTTACAGTGTCATTGAAACAAAATTCATCTAAGAAGCGAAATTCTTCAGATTTTCTAAATGATATTGACGTACCCGTAAAACGAATGAAAATTTATGGACAAAATTTGGAAATCATTAAAAAAGACGGTATGTATTATCTTGACATTTTTTGTATTAGATTTTTTAAAGTATAAGGAGGTATTTTCTTCCTCGACGTAGCTTCTTATTAAAATAAAAGAAAAAAATATCTAAGTTAATAACTAACGATAAGTACCATAACAGATAATGAAAGTTGCGTAGTATTAAATTGAAATAAAACTGAAAATAAAAATTTAGTCATTATTTCTATAAGTTGTTATCAGTTGTTGCTTTTTCTAGTTTCAAAATTTTTTTTTATTATTTGGACGTTTTGCAGCCCCTTAGTAGAAAAATAGGATTCGTACTGGTGTGCATTCAACCAGGGCAACCATAATGAGTCCTCAGGGCTTTATGCTTGACCTGGCGACATTCACCACTAGGTATGGAAACTGCCATTTTTTTTACTTTTTGTTAAAGATGGTATCCCAAAAAGTTATTTCAAACAATAACTTATAACAATTTAAATAGATTATAAGGAAGATAATCGTATTGCTCATAACAGTTGTAATTAATTAGGAGTAGTGATAATTTGTTTTAATTACTCACGATTTCAATTAAATTTCTATACGTTTATTTTGTCATACACTTACTCTAGTCCATTGACTAGGTTTAGTTAACAAAATGAATAAAATTGTGTACGCAAAAATGCAGTGATAAACATCTGACAATAATAGTTCATCGTGGGTGTGAGTCTTGGCATACTGACAGCTACGAAATGATGACTTATTAAAAAACGTTTTGGTTATGTTCCTGTTACTCTATATTTGGCAAATGAAAAATTAACTAGTAACTAGTTTCTTATAAAATAGTTTTCATGATAATAAATGACCATTATCCCTACAGTATCCAATCTACACGTCACTATTGGTTACTATATATTGTTGTTTGTTATTACTAGTTTTCATTTACATTTATTTTCTAAAATAATTGATGACGATGGTATTATTAAAATTATCCATACACGAAACATAATAACGATAAATTACGTTCTATGTAATATTAGCTTCTACTTCGAAATTGATATTTTGTATAACTACACTTACAGTGGTCTGTCAAAATGAGCCGTCATAACTAAAGTTCATCAGTTAACTGCCTAATAAATGCCACGTATATGTATTTCAGATCCTAGATGTCACAAAATCATGGACCAGGTAGAGACCAATGGTTACGTCCTAACGTATAGTCAAGGCAATAAAGCACACCCTGATTGGAAAGAGAGTGTGAGTGGACAAAATCCCACCATCATTAACATCGTGTCCATGTCACAAGGTCGCCGGCATGTTGTGTGCCTCAGTGACGAAGGAAGTGTCCTTACCTTTGGCTCTAATAATGAAGGAGCCCTAGGTAGGGAAGTTTCTGAATATGGAGTGACGGTGCCTGGATTTGTACACCTACCGGCACCGGCTATTCAAGTCACTGCTGGAGACACACACAGCTGTGCCCTGCTGAAGGATGGTCGAGTGTACTGTTGGGGATCTTTTCAAGTAAGTAATGGGTTTCTTATCGTTATAACTTAAATAACTTGTTTTGAATCGACGGATATTTAACAAGTATTATTGTACTCGTGATTCATTAAAATTATATAATTTCTTAGGATTCACATGGGCTTCTTGGCTTGATAACAGGCAAACAAGAAATAAGTCCAGTGAATCTTGAACCAGGCAAAAGATTCACACAAATAATGTCAGGAGCCGACCACATTATATTACTAGACAATACAGGAACAATGTTCACTCTTGGTTGTGCAGAGCAGGGGCAGCTGGGACGACTTCCAGAAAAAAAAACAGGTAGGAACAGTAGCCGAGGAAAAAATTCCCTGCTGGTTCCTACCCCAGTTCAAATTAAAATGAAAAAAAATTCTCTAATAAAAAAAATTTGGGCTGGAAGGGAGTCGTCTTATGCTGAAGACATTCACGGCAATGTGTTTGTATTTGGGAACAACTACTATGGTCAACTTGGTAAGGATAATATTTGGTACTTTTTCGAAAGAAAATTGAAGTTTTATTTTAATTTATTATTTCGCTTTTTATTGCAGGGCTTAGAAAGGGTGGTAGGATTTTTTGGCCTCAAGTTGTAAACACTTTGAGTGGTTACAAGTGGGCTAAAATTACTCCTCCACAACGCCATAATATACACTTTGCAGAAAAGAGAGAAGTTTACATACTGGGAAAAAATATGCACACAGTATTAGGACTTGGTACTGTGAAAGAAGATGCTACAGAGGTTGTGCATGTACCCACAATCCGTGGCACCAAATGCATGGATGTTGCGGTTGGAACTGCACAATCCATTGCTGTAACAAAAACTGGTAAGTATTCTCAACTTTTGATAAATAATAGTTTTATAAGTAATAATACGTTTAGTAATTATTATATGTATAACGTTTTTCTAGGAAAAATGTATACTTGGGGGACTGACTCGGATAAAGAGTTTAAGACTGGAAAAAAAAATGAGGTCCTTAAGCCTCAATTAATAAGTTCTGAACTCGTCAAAGATTTTGAATTCCTGCTAGTGTCAGGTGAGGAACAGCAAACTGTTGTTTTTGTCAAGGAAAGTAACAAATAATATTTTATTTTTAGAATTACATGATAAAGATAGTGATTTCTGTAAAATTCTTTTAAGTTAGTTCTTTTACATTCGACTAATCTACTTATCTCTAAGATTGTAGGAATAAACGTTAGTGTTAATGCAGTTTTTTTGAGCTTAGGAAAATAATAGTGAGTAATCATTCTAACGACAATCAGAATGTCCCAAAAAACCACTGCTTTATTAGTCATCGAAATATTAAATATGATATTTACAGTTGCTGTGGCCAATCGAGTTCTAAATGAACTTTAGATTTTGTTTGATATATTTTGATACGGTCAGTACGAAAAGGAAGCCAACAGTCAAAGTCATTTTTAAGAAAGACTTTTTTAAATTTATTGATTAAAGTATTATTAAAATAATTTTAGGAAAAATCTTGTTTGATATATTTTTGCACCGTTAGTACGAAAAAAAATTGTGCAATAGTTCTTGATAAGCCAACAATTACAGTTACTTTTAAAAAAGCCTTTTTTCGAATGTATAGTTTATAGTATTATTAAAATGACTTTTAAAGTGAATTTTTTTAAATGAATTTAAAACTTGGTTGGATTTATAAACTAATGCATTTATGTCGTAGGAACAAACTGTATTACGTTCTGTCAGTAATACCATGAGCCTCCCACACCTCTTAACCTCTTTGCCACCCCGCTGAAATATTGTATCGAACCTCTTTAGCGAATTGAATTCTTTTACCTCATTTATGCTTTCACTTCAAAGTGTAAAGTATACTTAAAATAATTCACGAAAAATGTGCAAGTATTGGACAAATGGATCTTTTAAATTCATAACTCTCAGCCGTCAATCATGTACTCGCTGATCTATCTGGTTTTAAAAAAGTCATGGAGTAAAAAAGTAAACATCCTTTTTTCCCTTTAACAATGCAATTTTTGTAACTTTATTTATAAAAATTTCTACTAAATTTTCTGCCACACCATAAGTAGCCGGATGATATAGTGGTGAAGAATCATGTTGAATTAATAAATTTTTTTAAAAATGATCAAAAAGCATGCTCAAGAATTTTATTATCTATAACCAACTGTAGTTACAAACCCCATATCAAAAATGTCTCTTTTTACTTATCATTTTTTCTGCACTTGTATGAGTACCGAAATCAATAGTCTCCAGCTATTTCGAGTGTGCAGCGATAACTATAAAAAACATACGTTTAAAAAATGGCCTTATAATATCAGCATGGATTCTTTTTGATGTGACGCTAATATTACTTTTTGGTAACCCCTTACTAAATAAGCTTCCTTAACAGCGAGCTCTGATTTTTTTTAAAAATATTTATTTTCTTCCACAGTTACTATTTTCAAATTTGTGGGCCACCCTTGAATTATGTTTCTTTACATTTGACAAATTTAAATTTTTTTTCGACTTTTAAAGCAGAAATTGTTTACATCTTTGCGAGATTTTAAAAAGGTAAAATTAATATTATGGTTGAAATATTTTATGTACGTTGAATCTGAAATAGGTAGTTCTATTTTTCTTCTTTTATTTGTGTAGTATTCAAGAAAAAATTTGTAAAAAGTGTTTCAAGTTAAATCTAATGTGTCGGTAGATCTCCTAACCCCCTGTTGAGCACAGCCTCAGCCTTTTCGGCATTTATGTAGTGACCGAATAAATCATAAGTTAGTCTAATTAATGCATCGTTTAAGGTAAGGATCACATTCATCTCCGACTTAAAAGCCCCCTCTATTTTCATCCTGTACATATCGGTCATGTTGCCTCGTCGTGCTACGGACAGATAGGTTGTCACAAACACAGCGACTGGTGAAAGTACAGCTGGCTCCCTTTGTCGACTTGCGACCCACAGCAAATACCTTATTCAACGAGTGATTATTCTGAGTGCACCCGATCCCCTTTGTATCGTTCTAAAGCCGTCGCGAGAGGCGATGACGCCCCACGTCGAGTGCCAATATTACTGTGTGCAGCCGATGTGGAGTAGCGAGGCGGAATTCGCAACCTCAACCGGGCCTGTGTTGCCCGGGTACCCTCGGCAAAACCTCAAATAAAACTTTATACGCGGGTCTCGCTCTTCGAGACACCGCAGGAGAGAAGTGTCGCGGCGACCTTGGGCGTCGTTGCCTCTCGCGACGGCTTTAGCACGATACAAAGGGGATCGGGTGCACTCAGATTAATCACTCGCGAGGAATATAGTATAATAAAATATATTCAATTATAAAAAATAAATACAAATCGTACTCGCGGGTGTATGTGTGTGTTCTCGCACGTCGAGCGCAAACACGCAAACCGGGCAGACCTACGCGGGCTAATCTAGGGCCGCTGCCCTTTACAATAAAATGCCTGTTGGCAGGTACTTACAGCGATGCAGGGGGTCGCTCCGCACCGGTGCCTTGAATAGGCGGAAACTAGTCGCTGTTAGTGTGCAGAGGCCAATAGGCGTCCCTACTGGCTGTGTTCGAAGGTCAAGGTCATCGGGGCTGGCCTTGGCTCAACCTTGTCCTCTGGTTCAGGAGCCGGGTCACAGCATCAACACTGTACCGCGACGTCGAATTAACTCCCTCCAGGGGTCACCGATATCCACGTTATCGGTGGATCACCCAATCACTCCAACAAAAATTCTCGTACCAAAGCAAACGTAAACAATCGGGGAAACAGAGAAAACACCTCACGCGCGTTCGCTGGCCCACGCTAATCTGTCCTCTCTCGGCCTTTTTCCCGTTCCCCTACTTTTCCTTACCGCTTTCCCACTTAAGCCCTTTAACGCTCTCTCCTCCATTCCTTGCTTTCCTACCTGCCCTAGCCTACTAATGTGGCCTAACGGTGGGGCACCGTTACAATTTAACAGTTTTGTCTATACTATTGTAAGTAAATTTGTTGCAACCCGAATCATACATGATGCCATTTATATCTCCAGCAAACAACGACTTACTACTAGCACAATTTTTTTTATAAGAATATTTTTCCTCATGTTTATTTTGACTAGAGTAAAAACAATCAGTGCGTTTTTTTTCGGATGCTGTTTCTATCTTTTTCTTTTTTTTCTGGCTTCACCCCAGCAAGCCCTTGTCCCTAGTCTTGAACTGTCCATCAAAATCATTATTCTAAGCATAAAACGTTCCTAAATAAACGTTGCTCATATCATAATTATATATCGTATTTTTACTTTTACTTTGGCGATTGTTTATTTAAACACTAGAATTTATCGAAAGCTTAGAGTACTTACCAGTTTTTGTACCAGCAATGGATTAAGTACTCCCTACCACAACATCCATTAATTTGTTGCCACATATTGTGGGTAGATGCGCAGTTTTTGTAGCATCTTTCTTCACAGTACCAAGTCCAAATACTGTGTGTATATTTTTTTCCAGTACGTAAACTTGTCTTCTTTCTAGAAAATATATACTATGGCGTTGTGGAGGAGTAATTTCAGCCTAGTTGTACCCACTGAAAATGTTTACAACTTAAGGCTAAAAAATCCTACCACCCTTTCTATGCCCTGCAATAAAAAGTGAAATAATAAATTGAAATGAAACTTCAATTTTCTTTCGAAAACGTACCAAATATTATTCTTACCAAGTTGACCATATTGATTGTTTCCAAAAACAAACAAATTGCCGTGAATGTCTTCAGCATAGGACGACTCCCTTCCAGCCCAAGTTTTTTTTATTAGAAAATTTTTTTTAGTTTTAATTCGAACTGGAATATGAACCAGCAGGGGATTTTCTCCTCGGCTACTGTTCCTACCTGTTTTTTTCCTGGGAGTCGTCCCAGCTGCCCCTGCTCCACACAACCAAAAGTAAAAATTTTTCCTGTACTGTCTAGCAATACGATGTGGTCGGCTCCAGACATTATTTGGGTAAATCTTTTGCCTGGTTCAAGATTTACTAGACTAATTTTTTGTTTGCCTGTTATCAAGCCAAGAAGCCCATGTGAATCCTAAGAAATTATATAATTTTAATGAATCACGAGTACAATAATACTTGTTAAATATCTATCAATTCAAGACAAGTTATTTCAGTTTTAACGATAAGAAACCAATTACTTACTTGAAAATATCCCCAACAGTACACTCGACCATCTTCCAGCAGAGCACAGCTGTGAGTGTCTCCAGCAGTGACTTGAATAGCCGGTACCGGTAGGTGTACAAATTCAGGCACCGTCACTCCATATTCAGAAACATCCCTACCTAGGGCCCCTTTATCATTAGATCCAAAGGTAAGGACACTTCCTTCGTCACTGAGGCACACAATATGCCGGTGACCTCGGGACATGGACACGATGCTAACGATGGTGGGATTTTGTCCGCGTCTCATTTGTCCACTCACACTCTCTTTCCAATCAGGGTGTGCTTTATTGTCAGGACGTGACCATTGGTCTTTACCTGATGTATAATCTTATGACATCTAGGATGTGAAAAACATGTATGAGTAATATATTAAGCAATTAACGGATAAAAATTAGTGATGACGGCTCATTTTTACAGACCGTTAAAAGTGTAGTCATACAAACTAGGACTATTTCTGGTCCCCAGTCTGAAACTGTCCATTGAATTTTGTTTTTCTAAGTATAAAGTATTCCTTAATAAACATTACTCGTGTTGTAACTATTATAAAAAAATTTTTATACTTTCACAAGGCAACTTACTGTTGTAGAGTAAATACCGTGATAATTCACTATAGTACGTCTCTACTTGATGATTCGTTCTCTCTACTCTTTTTTCACTAGATCTATTTCGAAAGGGGATTCGCGTCTTGGTCAAATGAGCAACATAGAGTGACTTTGACTTTTACCTTACGTGCTTATTATAATACAAAAAAACATCTTTTTTGGTTTCAATTACAATAGCGTAATCCCTCGATTGCAACCACGACGCTCACCCACACACGCACACTTACACTCTCTTTCCCATCCACGCGACTCTCGGTCAGGCTCAGGCCCCCTAAACGCGTCCGGCTAGACGGGTACACACACTCTCTTGGCTCGACCTCTAGGACACTTGAGTGGATCGCTGTTACGACTGGCAAAGGTTGCAAACACTCTTTGCCATACGCGTTCCAGCACCTGCTCTCGATC